AAAGTTCCTTATAATTGTTTAAAAAAATATTGTTAAATCATACAATTAGTCATCATCGTCATTAGTGTCCACATATTCTGTATCATTATCTTTGGTTTCCACATCATTTTGGTCATTATTTTTTAGAACAAGAGAATCACCACTATCTTTGGCTGCATCAGTAGTATCTTCAGCTGCACGAGCTTCTAAAGCTCTAATACGGTTTTCATGTTTGACGATCATGGCTTTTAACTTCCGAATTTCCTCTTTAAATTCTTTCACAATATCATCCTAAAAGTAAATAATACTTAATATAAAAAATTTACAAAAACTTGATGTACATAAAAAAAATGATTTTATGACTGGTTGCATAAACAATGAAATTGCTAAAAATTTAGTGAACCAATAATAAGCTAATAATACTTAAGAATAATGGCTAATGATAAGTCCGTTATATTTTTAGTTAAGTACATAAATTATTGATAAAAAACCTATCACATCTTAATTCTTCRACATAATAATCAACCTAAGACAAGTGTTCACCAATGCAGTGAAAAATAACTGCTACAACCTAAAGCATACTAATCGCAATTACATTTTGCACTACGACCACACTACCAACTGCTTTGGTAGACATCCAACCTAACACAACTATTAGTTAATAAAAATTACTTAACAATATTTTAAATGTTATTATTATTACTAACTGGAATTGATTGCTGTGGCTGATTAAATTGTGGTTTAGCTACTGGTGGTGCWGTTGTACTGTTTGAACTGGACTTGACTGTTTTATTTGCTGATGGTTTATCCAATATATTTGGCTTTTTAGCAACCTTCATTTCAGAAGCAGTAGGTAATCGTGTTGGCTGATGATAATCTTTCAATGATATGAGAATAGGTTCAGCATCTTGACCATTAAACCAATCTTCAGCATCTATAGCAGGAATATCTCCAATAGTATCTGGGTATAAATCTTCTTGAAATAACTCTGACTAAAAATATAAAAATCAATTAAAATTTTTAAGTTTAAAAAATAAAAAATAAAATAAGTTACCTTTCTTGGAACTGTCATGCTTATTGCTTGACAGAGTCCAGAATTATTTAAACGATAAAACTTTGATATTTCACAAATGGATACATCACAACCACGTTTCGGCATCATACCAATTCCTCGTTGAGGATCCGGTGTTTGGAACGTATTAATGTAATGGACAAATGGATGCTCTGCAGTTATTTCAAAATATCGAATAACACTATCCCCCTAAAAATATATATTTATTAATATGTATCTTACAAATAATAAAACATCATTAAAAGTAGCACATTACCTTGCCACACAAGTAAATCATACTAGTATCAGGATCATACAGCGGAAACATGACACCATTGCTTGTATCTAATTCAACCATAACAATAGGATCATCTAGTTTTTCAGGAGATCTCAATGAATACTGTCTTTCAGAAAGTTTACTAAAACCAGTTGTAAATATAAGGCCTCCTTTTAAAAATATACCTCTAGATGCTTTGCTACCTTCATGACATATTGCTTCCTAAAATAATTATAAATAAATATAAATATTATTAATTAATTAACTAAAATGTATACCTGCAGAATTTCTCCACTTCTTGGATTAATTAGCCTCAGCTTTTTATCTTTACATGTTGTCAGTAATTGTGATCCGTCAAAATTCCATGAAGCACTAAATACGATATCTGGATGACAGTCAATATGAATAAGTGGTTCACCAACACCAACATTCCAAATTACCACTTGATTATCAGATCCTATAAATAAAACAATTATAAATATTACATTTTACAATTTTACAATAAATAATTCATAACTAAGGAGAAAAAAATTACCAGCAGATAATAAAATATTTCGAGCTGTTGGGTGCCATAAAACCAGACCAACTCTCCTTTGRTGATAAATTAAATCTACTACTGACTCAGTCAATGTCCTACATAAAAAATTGATTTTCAAATAAAATAAAATAATTTCAAAAATAAAATGAAAATGTACACATACCGTGAAATTCCACCGTCGGGAATTTGCCAAACTTTTACCACACAATCTTCAGAACCGCTAGCAATTACATTATCGTTATGAGGACACCA